TTAAGAGTAGCGTTTGCTACTTCACAAGGCGAGATCCATTTCATATCCGAATTTGTGTACACTGAGCCTCTTTCTACAACTGCACACAACAATTACATGGGCAAATAAACATTCCTGTTGAAAAGAGAATCTCAGTATTATCTCCTTGTAAGATTCAGTTTTGCTGTTGAGAGCAGACAGTCATATCCTATCCCTGGCACTACTAACATGTTTCCAGTCGCCTGCAGCTGTTGCAATTCATGGCCATGGAAAGAAAGGGGAAGCATGCCTGAGCATGAGGCAATGAAAATCAGGATCACAATAAATGTTTAGCAACAAATGGAATTTGAAAAACATGGAAATTATTGTTATTCAAACACTGTTTCACTAAAAACATATGCCATAGACGGAAAAATTGATGAACTGTGAAGCATATTTCTGATTATTTTAAATTACTATTCCATTATGTTTTTACCACTAATTAAAAATATCCACTAATTAAAAATAGTAATGTGGCATATCATGCTTTGGCTATCAACCATCCAGGAGTTTCTTCCCAGATCAGTCCTTTATGAGTAAGAGCAGCTGGCCTCACATATGCTAACATGTTCTGCCTCTTCTGTAACAAAGAATATAAAGCCATTTTGCTTTCCTACATGGAGATTATGTGTGAATGTTATGTATGCAACAGCAGACCAAACGTACAAAGAATAGGTGGGTAAGTAGCAGGGAATGCTTAAAGAAACGTATGATTAGACTATTATGGGATACTTCATTTAGGGTTGGGGCAGGGGAGAGTTAAGAATTCTTTTCCTTACTCAGGTTGTCAAAAGTAATAGTTGATTTTTCCAGTAATTATCATTTCTCGACCTTTATAGAGATGATTTTTTAAAAACGTACTTTTGCTCTTAAAAAAAATACCTGCACACCAGCAGATCCAACAAAATAGCAAGATTTTCTGCCTCATGCACAGCCTGTGCAAATGAAACACTTCCAATCCCTTAACAATAGCTAAAGTACTGGGAATAGGTGGTCTGCACAAGCTTTTACTAGGTAAGATATTTAGCCTTATTACTACAGAGAAGGTATCCTGCTCGCAGGAAGACAGACACTTGAACAACAATCAGTAAAGCTGTAAACTCCTGCACTAGTGGAAGGGAACACACAGCCTTTAAGGGAGGCGTGACCAACATGGTGCTCTGCAGATCCTGCTGGACTACAATTCCCATAATCCCTAACCAATGGTCTGGTTGACTGGGGCAAATGGGAGCTGGAGTCCCACAGCGTCTGGAAGGTACATTTGCTACTTTTGCTTCAGGAACTGGAGGTGCAGAGCTGAAAACTTTGAATACTTGTTTTAAGTCTAGCAACAATCAACACTATGCTATTCTCAGCAAACCGCTGAGCTGAGCTGAAATTCTGAGAAACAATTTTAAGATTAATGTAGTGTGGTCCATCAATGAACACATTTCTAGGCACAGGATAGTAATACACGGAAGCAAGATTCTATTGCATAAGTGAATAATTTGAGGGGGTTCATCATTTTCCAACTTCATCATTGTCAAAATCAAGAGAACCATGATTCTCTCACACTTCCTGGAGCGACAAAGACGACAACATCCATGCAATTAACAATTGCATGAATGGTTGTAAAGAGCGGGTGCAAGGGCCCCAATCCAGATCAGGACTAGAGAGTGGGGGCACACTCTATTTATTCCTACCCCATTCCTAGGGCCCCCAAACCTGCTATTTCCTCTAAAGTGGTGTAACATCCATTTTGCCCCTAGGCTCCTGAATAATTTCAGCATGACAGTCCCTTTTAAGCAAACCTCGCATATCATAGAATACATTGTGGGGAGACAAGTTTATCTGTAGAAAAAGGCTGGGAAATTATTAACAACTGGAGGTAGGTTTTCCCCATATGCTTTTTTTGATTATTTAGGGTTGCTTAATTTGAACAGAAGGCTGGCTCAGAGTTTAGTAGAAGGCAATATATATCAAAGTGTGCGAGACTGCTGGTGTTAATGTGCACATATACACAGCGCTTTCTCAAGCTCACTTACTGCTGGAGCCATAAATATAAACTGCTAATTAAATGAGATGAAAAGACCACCAGAACAGACATACCTGTGACTGAAACAGTCCTACTGTGGAGGCCTTCCCTTGCAGGAACCCTGCTAAGTTTATGGGGGAAGCTTAATATATGTATTACATTTTCTAGAAACGTATCATTAGTGAGGGGCAGGAACCTATGATGAGATGTTTATAGTCTAGGGTTGTAACCCACTGCACACTTACACGGGAGTAGATCTTACTCAATACAGAGTGCAATATACTTTGTTTTGAATTTGGGAAGATTATAAAGCTAAAGTTTCAGGTCTCTTTCACAGCCATGCTTGTGGAAGAAAAATGAAATTGTAAGACTAGCCACTCACATAATCAAACTGTGCCACCACGCATGTGATTTCTCAGGCATTTGGCAGTAAATTGCTGAAGACTTTTTTTTGGAGATACTGCCCGCTTGGGAATATCAATTTCCTTGAATAGGCACCGCAAGTTACAATTAGCTCTGCTTTCCCTTACAAGAGTCTCGTAGAACTGCTGTGACAATAGGAGATCTGTGTTCCTAATTGTAGTTTGTGATACTCAAAAGTGCAGTCCAGAGAGAAGGAGCATGCATTAATGCTATTGACTTAAATAGAAGCAAAATTTTACTTTTTATGGAAGAAGGGGCATCAAATGATAAATGAGGTACAAGGTGACTCAAGTGTAAGGTAATACACACTGGGGCAGAAGAATCACAGGGAAACTGGTGGGGGTCTTAACCGGCAGTGACTAACCAGGAAAGAGATCCTGGGGTAACTGATTTAAAATCCTTTATGTGCAGCAGCAGTGCGAAAATGCAAAATTCATACTAGGGTTACTAGGAAACATATTAACACTAAAGCTGCCAGTTTTGTAAACCTCTTCAACAAATCTATGGTGCCTATGGTGCCTTTGGGATACTGTGTACAGTGCTGGTTGCCATGTCTTAAAAAGAAGAAGAAGTTATCACAGACCTGAAAAGGAAGCAAAAACAGCAGTCGAAATGCTGTGGAGAAAGTTGACAGAGAGGACTTGTTGTCTGCTCAAGAATAGAAATTGATGGGCAGTAGATTTAGGCTAGCTATGGGAAAATACTCCACAAAATAAATGTATGGAATTTGCTGCCACATTATGTGGCACAAAACAGCACTGGCTAGGGACACTAGCAGAGTTGTTATGAAGGTTTTGAAATGAACTTCAGGGGCTCACAGAGGCCCACCTGAAATGAGAGGTGAGTTTTTATAGCTCCCAGATTCTTTCCCTTCTTGGATTTAACTCTGAGCTGGAGAACAACTGCTGGCTTACTGAGCTGATAACTTTGTCAGAATAGACACCATTTTGTACGCCAAAGCCCATGGAAGCTTCTCAAAATGGGCCGCAAGCAATGCAAGAGAGTTCAGTTGCCGTATTATATTTCAGGCACTGAATTTAAGAGGTGTAGGGGCAAACTGTTAATGATGCTGAGAGGAAAGCCACTCCCTGTGAAGGACCCAGGAGGAGCGGCCTTCTTCCTACCCTTGGGTCTGTCCCCAGTAGGACTGGCACCAGGGAACATATCCTGCAAGTCTGAAACAGTGGTCTGTTTTTGAGCACTATTCAAAGTCCTGTGCTTACCTTTATAGTCCTTTACAACTTAGTTTCTGAGGGATCATTTTCTCCCACGTGTTTCTGCCCATGTGTTAAGATCTGTATTGAAGACATGTCTTCATGTACCCCCATCACCTGCAGTAAGCTGAGTGGCAACCAATAGGACTTTTTAGCTGTGGCACTTTTTCTCTTCCACTGAGATTCACCTGCCACCTTCTCATGTATTTTAGCACCAGGTAAAAACCATTTTATTTTCCATGGCTTCTTAAACACTGGCTAATTTTGATTTTAATTTGATTTGACACCGAGATCTAGCGCCGAGGGCCTTCTGGCGGTTCCCTCATTGCGAGAAGTGAGGCTACAGGGAACCAGACAGAGGGCCTTCTCAGTAGTGGCACCCGCCCTGTGGAACGCCCTCCCATCAGATGTCAAAGAGATAAACAACTACCTGCCATTCAGAAGACATCTTAAGGCACCCCTGTTCAGGGAAGTTTTTAATATGTAACGCTGTACTGTTTTTAACACTTGATTGGGAGCCACCCAGAGTGGCTGGGGAAACTCAGCCAGATGGGTGGGGTATAAATAATAAATTATTATTATTATTAATCTGCTCCATGAAGCGTGTTTTGTTATCATCTTGTTGGCTTTGTTTTGCTGTTTCTTGTTTTAATATTTTTTTACGGATTGTAAGTCATTCTGAAGCAATGGTTAAAATCAAAACCAGTCAATGAATTAATCTTACACAAAATATAAGAGATTAAAATGTTAGTAGAGATTGGCACAGAAGAATCTTGCTGGGTAGTCTGCTTCATCAATTTGGCTCCATGATTGACAAAGCCCTAACACATGCCCACACAGTTTCAGCTTTCAGAGTCAGCCCAACATCAGGCAGAATGAGGAGGCTACCCCAGACAGCAGATCACAGAGCACAATGAGTGGCAGCAAGGTGTTGGAAGACTGTGAGTGGTATGTGGCCTAACCTGTTGCTCCTAAGGTTTTGGTTTTATATGCTGAGCTCTTATTTTATTGTTCCACACTATGAGATCACACTATGGCTGAAACTAATGAGAACTGTAGTTTAAATCATCTGGAGGGTACCATGTTTGCAAAGCCTTTTCTGAGTTATGTAGTGTCTTTGTCCTTTGCATGTAAAGTAAAATTATGGAAGCTAAGAGACCATGTGGAAAATTGTTACAGTACCATCTGAAAAGGTCTCCCTTCCCCATCTGTATGAAGAGATGGGCACCAGCATTCGGTGCAGTCTGAGCCATTATTAAGAAGAGAACCCTCATGTGGCTGTATAAAGTATGAGAACACATATAAACAAACGTTGTTTGGAAAGCACATACCTTCCAGGAAAAAAGCTTCCATTTTATCCTTAAAGGGCTGGAGATGTTCTTCTGGTGAGTCTCTGAAAACCACTTTCATCTGTTTTTCACAAACTGCAATGACAAGTTCAGTGTTACCTTTTAATAAAACTTTTTAACCAACTAAAATAACATTCAAGTATTCTCAAACATTCAAAAAAACAACCCAATGGCTATTTCATACCGTGCCTTTTATTGTAGAAACAAACAAGAGCATGAATGCAAGAACTGTCTCCTATCAAAACAGTAGAAGTATTATTTGAATTCTTTAAGAAAAAATGGTTTTAAAGATAGTGATTCTGCTGATCCACATTGGCTGCATTCTTAGTCATTAAAATATCTGATTTTTAAAAATGCCATTCTCAACAGGGAATATCTTAGATTATGGTTAGCTTCAAAATCACAGTTTGCTCCCATGTCATGAAACAGGATTCGTTGTGTATTAACCACCCCCAAATTAGCCCTCATCACCTATATTAAAGTACAGCACCAAAAGACACTAAAAAACTCAACAATGTGCCTTATTTTAGAGGTGTCTACATGATTCAACGAATAGTTTAGTAAAACAACCCAGATGGCTCAAGCTTTATACTAAGAAGGCATTTTGAAACATTTGGGAGTTATGATTATATTGCTTCTGTGATTACTGAGATCCTGGCTGCAATCCTACACTCACTCACTTAGCCCCAATGAACTCAGTGGTGCTTACTTCTGAGTAAACATCTAAGGAGCAGAGTGCTTATTTTTTCAGATGATTTACAAACAGAAAAGTAAGCAAGGTTCCTTCCTTATGTAATTTACAGTCTCACATCTTGGTCCCATAGTCGTATTTTTGGAAATGAGGCCAGCTGACTTACACTGATATCATTTCTATATGTTCCTAGGGTTAAACACTAGTCTAATACACACATCTGAAGAGAAAACAGCAGATTAATTGATTTGCACTTTGTAATAATTGTATTATCTTAACTTCAGTGAAATTATATGTGAAGAGTGGCAATTAAGGGAGATATGGTGTGGGGATTTAAAGAAAAACAATTATATAAGAAGGAAAATGTTATAGCCAATAGCGATATAAATGATTTGTAAATGAGGTGATGATGCATCAATGCTTATTTGCATGTAATGAGAATACCTCCATACAACATTGTAAATTCTCTTGCAGCAGTATATGCTTAAAAGACATTGAAGACATGCATAGAAGTTACTAGTTTCTTGTGAGTCAGTGATAATCCGGTTAATATTTATTTTACTTAGTTCTAATAAATGGAAAGAGTACCTAGATAAATGGCAGATAGGCACTTATCACTGGTTATATAGGTAGTAATGTGAGAAAAGAACTGAAAGGGAGTGATAAATGCCTGGATAAGAGCTTTAAATATGTGTAACTTAATATATTTTTCAGAGTTATGTGATTTTCAGTTGACAACTCCCCATACTCATTACTACCTATAATTACCTAAGGGAATGGCACAGTTACAATCTGTGCAGCTACTTTTGAAAATGGAGGGGATTAGGTGGAGTTTTGTAAACCAGGAGATCTAATAACACCCACTCATGGGATGTTCAAGTCATATTTTCTTGACAGCTTTTTTTTTTAAAAAAATGCTATTCCATGTACTCTGCATAGTGGCTGTAAGTTATTATATAATGGGGAAAGCAGTGCAATTATTTAGTAAGAATTTGAGGCGGACTTGCTTTTATTGCTTTGGGTCGCATCAACCCAAAAAGGATTTCTTCTACTCTAGCAAATTTCAACTTCATGTAGAGTGTCAGGTACATGTACAGAAGGGAAAGATATGGAAATATTAAGTGATATCCTGTGTTTTCTCAAATTGGCAACAAGCAATGGGGCAGAGGACCCTTACTCTGTGCCAAACCTATTTCCTGTGCCACCATGGCAGCTTGGCACGTAGGGAAAGTATTGGCCTTATCTCAGAAGCACTGCAGTTGCCACAGACAGGACATATGTTTCCTCTTTTCTGATGAAACATATGTGGACATCCTATCTATGAAATATGTATGAAGTGACAGAGGCATGCATGAAGATAGGGTGGCCTGCTTATGCATTGCTGGGGGGGGGGGAAGAACTACATCAGTGGGAAAGGTTCAGAAAACAAAAGAGGGCACACAATTGCACAATATCTACATATGCTAACTTTTATTTTTATATCAGAGATATAAATTTGTTGTTGTTGTTTAGTCGTTTAGTTGTGTCTTCGTGACCCCATGGACCAGAGCACGCCGGGCACTTCTGTCTTCCACTGCCTCCCGCAGTTTGATCAGACTCATGTTTGTAGCTTCGAAGACACTATCCAACCATCTCGTCCTCTGTTGTCCCCTTCTCCTTGTGCCCTCCATCTTTCCCAACATCGGGGTCTTTTCCAGGGAGTCTTCTCTTCTCATGAGGTGGCCAAAGTATTGGAGCCTCAGCTTCACGATCTGTCCTTCCAGTGAGCACTCAGGGCTGATTTCCTTCAGAATGGATAGGTTTTATCTTCTTGCAGTCCATGGGACTCTCAAGTCTCCTCCAGCACCATAATTCAAAAGCATCAATTCTTCGGCGATCAGCCTTCTTTATGGTCCAGCTCTCACTTCCATACATCACTACTGGGAAAACCATAGCTTTAACTATACGGACCATTGTTGGCAAGGTGATGTCTCTACTTTTTAAGATGCTGTCTAGGTTGGTCATTGCTTTCCTCCCAAGAAGCAGGCGTCTCTTAATTTCGTGGCTGCTGTCACCATCTGCAGTGATCATGGAGCCCAAGAAAGTAAAATCTCTCAGTGCCTCCATTTCTTCTCCTTCTATTTGCCAGGAGGTGATACATCAGCATAATTATTTAATTTAAATAGAATTATAGTACACAGGACCCTTGAGAAGACTGTGAATTGTGTATCTGCTCAAGCTGCTGATTTAGGTGATAACTGTTGATGGGCAATGTCAAGATTCCTACTTTGCCTTATGGTTCTTTATCATTAGACCAGACTTGGACCAAACAGCCCTTCAAATAGATGACAACAAGATGTCCCCTGTAAAGCAGGACACAAGGCCACCTATTTATGGGAGTTAGGCAGAGAAGTATTTTTGGGAGAAGAAAGAGGATCACAAGGATCTTAACAAACATAAAGTTTCAAACAAATCCATGACATACCACTGTGTTTTTACAAGCTGGTGCAGAAGAACTCCAATCAAAGCACACAATACATGTGGACCACCAGGAACATTTAGCAGAAGCCTTCCAACCAACGAAGACTAAAATAGCTATTTTTGGAAAAACACAACACTTCCCCTACAGTATTATGTAAAATTGATCTTTCTGCCACTTAGTGTTGCAGAAAAGGCATTCCAAGTATAAATTTGGTATCCTTAAAAATGGAATATAAGTCATTTAAAAATAAACAATTAAGGAAGAATATAAACAGTAGGGCCTGTGCTTGTCCCAAAACACTTCACAGTGCTATTTTCTTAACTGTTGACTTGGCAGCCACCAATGCTTACAAAGAGCATGATAAAATGGGAGAAAAAAAGGATGCAGCTTCCTGAAGAATATATTTGAAGAGAGAAAACCTCCTCACCTTTCAGTCTGACCCCAGAACTTAAAAATTGAAAAACTAATGCAGCAACCTACAAATCAAAGTGTCCAAGTAAACTAAAGACAACGAAGGTAAAGGTAAAGGATCCCTGGATGGTTAAGTCCGGTCAAAGGCGACTATGGGGTTGCGGCGCTCATCTTGCTTTCAGACCGAGGGAGCTGGTGTTTGTCCACAGACAGCTTTCCAGGTCATGTGGCCAGCATGACTGAACCGCTTCTGGTGCAACGGGACACCGTGACGGAAACCAGAGTGCACAGAAAAGCTGTTTACCTTCCCGCTGCAGCGGTACCTATTTATCTAATTGCACTTGTATGCTTTCAAACTGCTAGGTTGGCAGGAGCTGGGACAGAGCAGCAGGAGCTCACCCTGTCCTGTGGATTTGAACTGCCGACCTTCCGATCGGCAAATTAAATGTTCATATATCAAATTTGACTATGAAATTCATTGATGTGGGTTTTAAAGCTTACATGACTTTTGCAAAGAACCTGATTCCATTCATATTTACGGTGGTACCTCAGGTTACAAAACACTTTGGGTTACAAACACTTTGGGTTACAGACTCCATTAACCCGGAAGTAGTACCTCAGGTTAAGAACTTTACCTCAGGATGAGAACAGAAATCGCATGGTGGTAGCGCGGTGGCAGCGGGAGGCCCAATTAGCTAAAGTGGTACCTCAGGTTAAGAACAGTTTCAGGTTAAGAACGGACCTCCGGAACGAATTAAGTTCGTAACCAGAGGTACCACTGTACTCAGAAATAATTGCCAATGACTTCAAAAGTATCTAATGATACTTTTCTATATTTTTATGTGGGATTCACTACAGAATGCACTGCATATTTTATTTGATGGTTGAAAATATTAATGGAAGCGAACATATGTATATCAATATGGAATATTTAAAGAACTGACAGTATTAATTTCATGGAGACTTGCTAAGTAGCAACATGGCATAACATCAGGCAAGGGAATCCTTTGTCCTTGAGCAAGTTCTTTTCTTTACAGCCTGGGAGCAGCAGAACCCATCAGTGATGGAGAAAATCTCCAAAGCATGCAGCCCAGTTCAAGATGGAAAGGTAGGCAGTATCTCCCCAGACAAGTAACTTGACCCTTCCCTTCACTGCTAGATCCCTACTGTTATTTCAAGGAAGATAATTTTATTTGTTACTTGAATGGAAATCAAAACTAGATCTCATACTGGAAATTAAAAGAAAGCTGCAATACTAAACATGCTTACTTGAAAGGTAACCTTATAAAATAAATGTAGTTTATTTTAGAATATATTGGTTCAGGGTAGAAGCATGTCATGGACTGGCTGGCTGGAGAGGAGTGGTGGTGGGAGGACTAGCTGGGGAGAACTCCCAAGGGAAGAAGGCTCAGAGCTGGGGATTGTTGGCTGGATGATGATAAGTGGTCAGAGGGAGAAGAGGAACTGGGAGGTTGTGCGGAAACTGAAGAGGTAACAGGGTTTTATAAGCAG